TCATCACTTTGATTATTCACTGATATTTAGGGGGCATCACTTTGATATTTATGGGGCATTACTCTCATTTGTTCGATCTTGCCAGTGGCATAAGACTTGAAAAACATTTGCCAATGACATAAGTTCCTTAAAATAACAGAGGCCGTATATTTCTAGAAATTTTGGTTTGATTCACAGAATTTTTAATTTTGGCATTTTGAGAGCACCACTCTGATGTATGGGGGCATCACTCTAGCATTTAGGGGGCCCCAGTCTTGCTCTCACGCTGATCTTTAGGGGCATCACTCTGTGATGTATTTGGGTATCACTCTGATATTAAGCGAGCATCACTCTAGCATTTAGGTCGCATTAGTGTGGTGTATATGGGCATCACTTCGGTATTGTTATTATCATGACAAGGTAATCCCTTGCTTCAATGCAAAAAGTTAATCCCCCTTCACATCTTAAATGTCATTGGTTGCAAAATAAAGAAGGCTGGCTACATGCATAATACTAAGACACGTGCCTACAAGTGATAGATGATATCCAATCACTACTTGATAATCTTCCTCTGATTATCTTAAATAGGTAATCTTCCTTCTTAGGACACGTTCAATGATAAGTAATCATGATTGAGAGGTAGGTAGGTAGGTAGATGACAAGTTAACGTTCGCTTCCAGCGGATGCTGATATCGCAAACTAGGTAGTTGTTGGTAGTCGTAGTAGTTGGTAGTTGGATTGGATCAAATTGGATGATTCGGTGTTGTTGGTTTGGTTGTTGATTCTTCGTTAGATCTGGTCGGGTCGAATGGCATGGCGGTGAAACTCGGTCCTAGATGGTGTGGCGTGAGTTACTCGGTCTCCTTCATTCTTCCAAACTCGTGCTGATCGTGGTATTTCTTGTTGGTTGGTAGTCGAATGGTAGTCGTTGGTTTGGTGTCATAGTGTAGCTGCCTTCATATACCCCTATCTTTACTTTGTAAATCATTAACTTCACTGTGTGTTACTTGGAAACAACGGAATACATTATTGAGGTATTATTATTTTACTTTCTTGGCTTTCGTTTCTCTGTGTTCATCTCTCGTGGCACATCGTTCTTAGCAGTTTCATTCAGTCTGCATCTTTCTTGGCAACTGCATTCATCTTTCATCTTCTCTTAGCAGTCTTCGCTTCCTTTGCAATGGCATATGTTCTCATTAAAAACCCTGGTACCAAACAGTGCAAATTGTGCCCACACCCGACGTTCCTAGTCGAATTGACTAAGCACTTAGTTGGCTTGCATGGCAAGGACTTAGCAGAGGCCAAGGAGTTGAACAAGCAGGAAACGGCTAATCAGAATGCCGTGGTCCGTATCGTCTACTCCAGACATGTTCTGCAGCATGCATCCCCATCCCCTTCCCCACATGCCTCTACCAGTCGAGGTGTAGATGCCCCCTCCCGGTTCACGCATTTTTACATTCCCTGGATGTCCCTGGTGTTTCAACCCCCCAGGAAAGTTTCACTTCTGGCAATGTCACCCCCGCCCTTCCTCCTGGCACTTCCACTCCCACTTCTGGCACAGAGGCTTCACCCTCTAATCTTCTACGTGCCCCTTCTCCCTGCAGCAGTCTTTCCTCGAGGGCCTCCGAGGATTTAACGAAAGAGGATTGCTTGCTTCGTTTAAAGAAAGTAGCCCTCGATATGTTCCAAGTGGCCAATGACAGAGAAATCCCCAAACAACACACAGTCTTTGCTAGCTTTAGGACCTCTCCGAGTTCAAGCATCTAGGTGGCGTGGATGATAAGGGTGTGTTGGCACCTGAGGGCAAAATTATCATCAAGACGGTAACCTCCTATCTAAGGGACCTTAAATTGCACAGGTACGCTCAACATTTCGTGGAATGTACCAGACATTCTAAAACGTCCACGAAAGCCCAACTGGTCAAAATTCTCCCCAAGCAATATCCAGAATTGAAAAACCTCACAGCAAAGATACAGACCATTGCAAGTTTTATATTCACTCTGAATAAGAACTTTGATCAACCGTCTCGTTTGTCAAATGTCCTAACAATGACCACTGACCATTCGCCCGCCTGCGAAACGCCATCACATCTAATAACTGGTTAGATTTGTTTAAGAAAGGCCCACTGCCAAACCGAGGAATGGAATTTTCGCTATGCAGAGGCACACGAAAGGTCAGGTGGTCATTGATAATGGCGGACAGTATCTTTCCGGCAAGGAAGGGGATGCCAAATATTATGCAGGCTCTGATGGAGGCATGGGCTACATGATTAAGTTTCGGTTTGGTGACAAGTGGCACTACAGAGATGCTTCCACGGACGACGGCCACATGGGGCGGCTGATTAACCACAGCGCCTGTTGCCCCAACGTCAAAGGTAATCCCATTGACATCTTTGGGGATGGCAAACCGGTCATAGTCTACACAGCGACCAAGGTAATTTTTCCAGGAGATGAAATTCTACTTGACTACAATGATAGTCAATCATCTGCCGAGTTCTTGAAGATATGTCCCGTTTGTCAAGGAGATCCGCTCCGAAATAATGCACTGGTTGCTGAGCCGGATAATCAACCACCCAAGAAGCATAGGAAACAGGTCATTTAGATCATTCATCTTCTGGCCTCTATTCTTTATCTTCTGGCACAGAGGCTTCGCCCTCAATTCTTCTATGTGCCCTTTCTCCCCTTAGCAGTCTTCATCATTCTCAGTTTTCTTCGGGCACAGAGGCTTCACCCTCTATTCTTCACGTGCCCTTTCTTTCTCCATCCCA